AACCATAATACTTGACAAAATATATGATCTAAGGCGTCAGACACTAAAGAACCTGAAAGCATCGGACTATGCCTCAGATATAGACACAAACGTTAATACGAGTTATGACATAATCAACACAGACTTCAATGCAACAAGCCTAAGCGTGCACATAACGAATTACTTGATAAATATCATAAAAGCATAAAACTCAACATAATCTTGAAATAATTAATCATTGCTTTCAACATAATGATGAGAGAATGTCGACTTATAAAATGACAAATAAAACCCTAAAAACGTTTATAAAAAAGGGCCATTTTTACAACTAAAAAGGATTGAAAATCTAAATTTCAATCTTTCACTCTTCAAAAAAGTCGCTTGATTCAAGACAAAGCTAAAAACTAGCCATCTTGAATATTTAAAATGTTCTCCGATCGAAGGGCAATTTTTGTCAAAACAAATGTCGAAAACTCAAGCTTTCTTCTTTCTACAAACCTTGTGGCTCCTAAACACACACAAAGGGCCATTTTTTTTTTTTTAAATTTCTTTATTCGAGAATGATCTATCAGTTGAACCAGTGATTCACTTATCAGTTTCTTTGGCCGAGTCAATAATCGGCCTAGATCTCATAACTATAATTAATCTCACTAATCCTATTTTATAAGTTTTTCGCCATTCAAGTTTATAATGTTGTTGATAGACACTCAGCGAAAAATGAGAGCTATAATATAGACATATTGTAAGTGAGAAAACGCATGAAATTTTTTTTTTAACCAAATAAAAAATGAAAAAGTGAATTTCCCGGATATTCAAGCAAAGGAGAAATTTTTTAACTCTCTCAAACTATGGAACTCGGTACTTCATGTCACTATTTAATTGACATGCATATATCTGGGCCTCAAATATATAGTAGGCCACAATTATTAATTAAATAGTGACAGAAAAATACTGAATGCTTCACTTGGAGGGTACCGAAAATTTTTCCCAAGCAAAGCTAAATAGCATATTTTGTAATTCAGTAATATTTCAGAAGTATGTGAAAATGATATTTTAATAGTTTTCGAATTTTTATATATTTATCTTTTTAAATTCAGTCCGATCCGTTAAAAAATGATCCAGTGACCAACCCAGTAACAGGTCCATATGCGATAACTGGACCAATATGTACTTACCCATGTGACTGAGTTCGGGTTAATCCGTCGACCCAATTGATCGCTTTCAATTTTTTGCACATCAAAGTCGGAAACAATGGATTAATGTGATTTATCATCGTGATGATAATTATTAGTGATGTAACAGCTTATTATCTCTTATATTTCTCTCTCTCTCATATGAATTGAACTATTCAATTTCATTATCCACATCACTGATAATTTTTTTTTATATAACTGTGGATATTCGGGCCAACTTATGCGCACCTCGACTAATCCCACGGGGCCCTAAAATTTACGGTCGGATAGTCACTTCAGTGGCCCTGAGGGGATTCGAACTAGTGACCATTGAGCACATCACCGATAATTTATCATCGCGATGATAAATAACATTATTCATTTTAATAACAAATAATTTATTATATCAATAATCTCCTCAGCAAGAATTTCTATTTTAAAACCATTTTTATAGTAGCAATTTAACATTTTAGTTTTAGTTTCGTCTCAAAGATAAATTTTAATTTGAAAACTTTTACAAATTTTTCAAGCAATGATCTATCGGTTAAATCAGTGATCCGATGACCTAATACTTTGGCCATATCGATGGCAGGATTGGATTTGATAAATATGGATATACATGTTTAGCATGTTATATTGAAAAGAACGTTATAAACAAAAATCTGACATCTTTCTTTTCTTATCACAAACTATTGGATGCGTTTGATTGTAAGGGTGGAAAATGAGTGGAAAGAAAATGTTTTATAGGAAAAATATTTGCCTAGAAAATGTTTTGCATGGAAAATGATTTCAAGTGTGTTTGATTGGTATAATTTTCCACCCGAAAAATTTTTAAATTTTCTATTCGTTTGGCTTTATTTTATATGGAAATTGTCCATTAAAGTGATTTTTT